TGAAAGTAAATCAAATTATGAAGTTGTCCGTGAGATTTCTGCAGGTAACCGGCTTTATCGACCACACTTGGCATCGCACACTGTGTACAAAGTCATGTACAGCTGCTGGCATGAGGTCTGTTGGTCTTTCTTGTGACATTACTCTACTTCACTTGCAGTGTGGATCTGAAGGCTATCCTGGAGCAATAAACCTCTACTTTGTAGAATCCTCAGTAATTTTTGCTGTGCTTTTTCACAAACCACATCTAGTTCAAAAGCCTCTGTTTCTTTTGACTGTTACATTCAGTAAATACCAAGCATATAACCTACACAATAGGTCTATGCCATCCCTGGTTTTGAATATATGTACCCTGTCAATATATCCCCTGTGCTTCCTCCTGTAGTGTGCAGAGGAATTTTGCGTACAAATGCTTTCTTCTGAAAGTACTTTTTCATTCTATTGATTTCTGGCACAGAACAGAACAAAAAATAAACTTGATCTCTTCAATCTGTGTCAACAAAATAAAATATGAATAATAATTTTAAGTGGTTGCTTTAATTGTACTTGTAACCAACTTCTATTAATTTAAAATGTCTCTTCTGCTTTTTTTTTTTTTTTTTTTTTCCAGAAACCTGAAGGACGTCCTACTTTTGCAGAATTAGTAGAAGCCCTCACAGATATAATGGAGATGGGATAATTGGGGATTTTATACAGGTGTGTTTACTGAAAAGTGAGCATTGAGCTGGCCAATGTAGCTTATATTGAAAACGTCAGCCTTTTAGAGCAGTCTTTACTTAAACTATGGTAGCAGCATCCCTGTATTGAAGCTGTTTGGGCTCGGCCTAATTTGGGAAAGATACCCGAGGAGACTGGATTACTGGATTTGTACTCTCAAGCCTTTATGTCCATGAAAAATGTCCTATCTAGAAAGAAGCAACCAAGCTTACTCACCACATAAACTCTTTTCCTTATTCTTTTTGTCAGAGCTACGCTAATTCCTGTAATATTGATAAGAGAATTTGTTGAACTGTTACTTAATATGGTTCATGCACAAGGAAATAGTGATTAGCAGCAGCAAAAGTGGTGGAAGGACCTGTGAAAAAGTTCCAGAACTAAAGGCAGAACCTTTGGCACTGCATAACACTGAAGGAATGGAGCAGTTTCAGAGGTAACTCAGCCACCGGGGCAGCATGCGGATTTTTGCCTGGATTCTGCACTGCGTGTTGCTGGGGATCCAGACACACAGAAGGGGTGGAGGCAGCAGTTGTCCTTTGGCAGCTCCTGACTCACATCCCAAACAGCTGGAAGGGCTCAGCACCCCTGAGGAATTTTAATCCTGCTCATAGGTAAAGGCTAATTTTGTGTGAAACAGAGAGAACAAGTATAGATTGTTTTATTCAAGCTTCTCCCTGAACTTTTCACTGTCTTCCATTTCTTGCTTGCTGCAGCTTACTCAAATGCCCATCAAATGCTTTTCTTAGTCCTCCTCCTGCCAGTGCCCAGAATGGTGAACGAAGAGAGGCTGGAAATTGGCCATTAAATAAAGTGTTTTGTGTTAGTTTAGCTCAAATAGATTTTGTGAGACCTTACTTGCACCATATCTGTAACTGTGCCTGTTAGCTTATTGTTCACTTCTAATTCTTAATTTTGGTTAGTGCGAATGTATTACAGAAAAGGCAAGTGAATTTGGTGTTTTTTTTCAATACAGAGAACAGTCAGGTCATTACAAATAAATAGTAGTTTAAAAATGTGATTGTGCTGTGAATTGTTAATAGGTAAGTACATCATATTTCATTTTATAGCACATCGTAGACAAAATACTTCCAAGCCAGTAGATGAAGAATGATGGACATCTGAACAGGTTTTTTCATTTCCACATTTTAAAAGTAAATGAAACAATACAATCAATCATTCCGAGTTTTGGATTTCCAGAAGGTGATGACACCTCTGGGCCAAATTCATGGCAATAATAGTTCATTTTTACTGCAATAGCATTCTCATAGTTACCACCCCTTGGGGAAGGGAGTACTTAACTCTACTATTTGGGAGTAACTTCACACACACGCTTTTAAGATCCTTCTGCTCAAGTGAAACATGATATTCTCATCCTTTTGTGTAATCTGCTGAAAGAACTGCCACCAGCATATGGCTCTGTTTACTTTTATAACTGACTTATTCATGAGCATTCAGTTCCATCTCAGCCCTCTAACTGCACGCAAACCTATACAATACTGTACAAACCACTGCTTTGAGCTCATTACAAGTTTATGCCTGTAGTACAGTAATACAGTGCTTTTGAGCTGATGATGCTCTACAAAAAAAAATAAATTCAAACTGTGTCTGAAGTATAAATGCACTCAGGGACTTTTAATAATATAAGAGGAATATTTTACAACAGCTCTTGTAAAACTGGTTTTGCTACATGAATTACTACAAGTTAATATGTAATACCACAGTACCATGCAATTAAAAGGGGCTCTGGTAAGTTCAAGTTCTTGAAGCACCCTGCTTTTGTTTGCATTGTTGAGTTGTCCCATAGTGTATCTTTGACACACACTGGTCTCAGATGGAAAGTAATACTTGCCTACCATTCCTTCATTTTCAGAATTCCACCTTTCTGGAGGCTGGGCAAACTGTGAGTGGGCTGATGTCACCACTCTGACGCAGATGAATTTAATAGCTGATGTCACAAGGCTTACAGTAAATAAATTAAAAAGCACTATCATGTGCTTCAGGATCAATGGAATCAGTGTTTAATCAGTAAGAAGGAAGGTCCGGCAGGGCAAGGGTTGTGTGTGTAGGGCATGTTTACTTACTCGAGAAACTACACCCATATAAAGACCAACAGGCCAACTTAGCCTTTGTGGTGGCTCCTAGCATACCTCAAACCCCAGACATATAAAAAGAAAAAAGGAGAAAGAAATGATAGGTGAGCAGTGAGAATCACTCATGCCACTGATAACAGAGGCATATGTGTGTCTGCTAGCTGTTTTTTTTTTTTTCCTGATAAACCTATGAGTATTTCAAAAGAGATTTTTAATAGAAAATAAGATATCTGAGGAGCAGATGAGGCTGTTTGATCTGGAGAACAGAAGGCTGAAGGGAGATTTCATGGTTTTGTACAACTGTCTGAAAGGTGGTTGCAGTGAGAAGGATGGCGGTCTCTTTTGCTCAGTGACAAGTTGATAGGATGTGGGTAAATAGTCTCAAGCTGTGCCAGGGGAGGTTTAGATTGGTTATCAGGAAGTGTTTGGTTATACAGAGGGTGATTAGGCGTTGAAATGGCCTGCCTAGAGAAGTGCTGGAGCCTCTGTCCTTGGAGGTATGAAAGAAATGTGTAGATGTGGCACTAAGGGCCATGGTTTGTACTAAAGGGTGGTTGGTTGGATTTGATATTCTTAGGGGACTTTCCAAACTAAATGGTTCTATTAAAAGAGCAGTAAAGATTGGAAGGAAGCACAGTGTCTCTGAAGGGATGTTAAGAGTGCTTAGCAATGGCAAAAATTTGGCCACTGTTTCCTCATCAAATATCATAAAACAGACTACCAGCCAGCTGGTATCATGGGTGAGAGAAAAAAAAAGAAGCTGTTGTCCTAGCTTCTGTGCAGCAACCCCATAGGATGTACCCCTTTTCTATCAAAAGCTGAATTGCTGACAAACTGGAGCATGTTTTCAGAACATGAGATGACTTTCATCCTCAAAAGTACTCCTGGCAAGTAATCACTTGTGTGTTACATGTTTGGGCAAGTTTTTCTACAGTGCCATTTGTTTTCCAGAGCAGCTTTCCCTCCCCACCCCTGCACAGTGAAGTTTCATAAGAAGGTAACAAAGGAACCTAAGCGCCGCTCCTCATGCATCATCCAGCCTGGCTTCTGCCTACCTCTCATCCAGTTTAGAAACTTGCCAGAAAGGAGTCAGTTTTGGGAAAAACACTTAAAAGTTTCCTAATGTATTTGCTGGTTTGGTTTTGCTGGAACTTAAATAGTAAGAGGATGACATTTGCCATGAGTATACGATTAAAGATAGAACTCCAGGCCACAACCATCATGAGTAAAGAAATTCAAGTTCTGAATGAGAATTCTTTGGGAGCAGACCTGACTGGGGCATGGCTGTTTTAAGGGTGGCTGGGAAGGCAGGCTCTTAAAGGGAATAATGACCTATGTGCTTCCTTCCAAATTCCCTGCAGATCATGTAACAAGTCTTTTTGATTTACCTACATCTAATCAGCACAGCTGTGTAATTAATTTAATTGCTCGTTTGTCCCAAGTTATGGCGTGGCAATGAGTAATTACCAAGATGATTCCATTTCTGCATTTAAAAGCCCTAATTTGGTTAGTGATGTATTGCCTTCAAGGTTTCCTTTGTTGCAGTTGTTAACCATTCTACCTTCTTTCCAAAAATTTCAGATGACTTTAAAAAATAGCTTTCATTTTGCTGCCATTTTGCTGAAAGTTCACTGAAATACTGTCCATAAAACATGAGCACAACAAAAAACTCCCTAATATTCAGCTTTGGTTTTCCTTCCCTAGTTTAGAAGGGAAGACATTTCATTTGCCTACCAATCTTATTCCTCAAAATCCTTGTCTTCTGGCAGCTAATATTATCATCAGTATTAAATGCTCCTTGCTGATGTTTTCTGTAGAACATAAGGGTGAAAATAACACATGCAAAAAAATTGAGTCACTCTGTAAGACACCAAAACCTCTCGGTCTCCCCATACTCTGCCCTCCACCTGCATCAGAATACTGCAGGTTTTTTATTTAAAGGTAGTTTCACATGTGGCCTTTCTAAGAGAGTACAACATTTTCTTTCTTATCAGGAAAAAAAGCAGAAGTCAAAGCGACTAAAAGAAGGTCATGATCAAGCCAGATTCACATGAACTGCAGGGACTTCATCCAGACATCTTTCATCTTGAATCTGGGTGTGTGTACAGGATGTGCTACTAAAACTGATTTTATTGCTGATTGTAAACTTGGATTACTCTTTTTTCTCCTGTGCTTACAAAACACCAGTCATTTAATACGTAAACCATGTATAATTTATTACAAGAAAAATAATAGCATAATTTCAGTAAAAATTAAACTTCTTCCAAATCATTTAGTAAATATGAACAGTTTCAAAAATAATATCTCTAGTAAAAGCTTTTATACAAAAGATAATAATTTACTTTGTAACATTTTTGAGTTCTTGTACACCATGGAAATAAGCATCAACTTTGATTTTCTGATATTGCAAGAAAATAACATTATTTTCCTAGTAGATGTTATTTACACATAAAAGTAGATAAGCAGGTCTAGTAGGAAATACAGAATTCCTGCTTCATCTAATCAAGGATTTAGAAATAATGTCTAGGTGATTGGTACAATTGCTACTTCCTCCTGTACGTATGTCAATTACAAACCTATTCAAGTGGAAAAAAAAGATGCTTGCAGTTTAGAAATAACTTCAAGTATCCCTAGAGCCACTTCTCAGGTTTTGATAGCTTCTAAATCCTCACTAAAATAAAAGTCATTAACAAGTAAGAAGTTTCATGAACACCTTTCAGAAAGGAAGTGCATGGCTTTGGCATCAGGATTAAACTTGGCACAACACAAGCATGTGTGCAAGCGTGCTGCAAGCAGTAGCAACCGTTTTGTTCCTACAGAAAAATTGTGAGCTTTCTGTTCACAGAACAATGGAACCTGAAGTGTCAACAGTTACTCTACTGCTTGCACATTACACAGCCTGCTGTATGAAGAGATTCTGCTTGGCATATATATCTCAGCTGATCAGAAGTCATTTTTAATAATCCAGCTCTCTTGCTAAATCTCTGGCAGGCATCACCCTGAACAGCCCAAGATGTGGGAAAAAACCCTTTCTTGCTAAAATTCTCCAATAGGAGATGTTGCATAAAAAATAGACAAAGTTGTTCACTTCTTGACATATTATAACCACCAGGTTTCTGTCCCTCATGTCAATTATTGAACATTTTAATTCATTATTACCAACATCTGGCACACAGAGGAGCGTGCCTTTACAGGCAGTTTTCCAGAGGGTAGCAGTGACGAAGAGTGGTCTGGTAGATACAGGTAAGTCTGCAGTTCATGACAGTGGAACGAGAAACTGTCACTTGAGAGTTTCATTGGCTGAATAAAACATTGTCTTCCCCATACAACACAGCTGGGTCTTCCATGCTTTCCAGTAAAGTGTGAGAGGTTTCATACTCGCAGTGTGGCAATGATGATTCTTTTGTAACGCTGGACATCAACTGGCTCCAGGTGATATCAATGTTTTTGAAAGCATGTAATAGAAAAATTCCGATTATTATACTGCAGAATCCACTGAGGGTCCCAAGGATGTCATCCAGGTCCATACCACTCCATTCCTTGAACAGGATGATGGAACATGTCACCACTGTCGTGGTGAAACACACGTAATAAATAGGTGTCACTAGAGATGTGTTAAATGTGTCCAGTGCTTTGTTGAGATAATTGATCTGGGTGCTGACTGAGAGCAATAGGATTCCCACCAAAACATAAACCAGGGGATGTCGATAAACTGGCTTCCACTCCAGCATTTCTTTAATGGCAATGCCCAGGCCTTTGACAGATGACACAGAGAAGGCACCAATAAGTGAACAAATTAAAACGTAGATCAGTATATTTGTTTGACCTCTCCGTGGAGCCGCAATGAAAATCAACACGAGGACAACAGATATTAGGAGAACAGCAAACGCAACAAACACTGTATGAAAGAGGAAAGATGAAAGATCAGACTATGTTCAAACACATGCTAAAAGTCACTCAACTTCAAGTCAATTTCTCTAAGAACTGGAGCACAAACTCAGTGCATTGAAATAAACACAAAATACATGCTTTGTATTTAAAATGCCAACTATATGTTTAATTTTTGATTGTAGGAGCTTTTAAATTATGAGCTGACTCATGAACTAACTTGAATTTAGCTCATTTTGTCCTATGCTACACTCATCCATATGAAATTCTTCCGCTTCTCAAACACATTCTCTTTGAAGTGTACTCCAGGGCTACCTCAAGGATATTTGTTTGAATTAGTACGCCTGCTTACTTAGAGCAAGGTTGTAATTGGGACTTAAAATTGAACAGCATTTCAAATGAAGTAAGAACTGGTTGAAAGTAACCTTATTTAAAGCTGTGATTTATTTTAAGTGGAGGTAACTTGGCGCATAGAGCCTTAGAACTCCTCAACGTGCTGGAGGGCAGGAAGTGCATCATTTCTTACTCGAATAATCTGCAAGAAGCCATGTAAGATGAGCTGCTTTTAAGCCTGCATCTTTGGGAAATACGGTATGTGTGCAGAAGCCGTTTGTGCTCACACATTTATTAAGGGATTCTGGGCTTCTGGCACAATCAGCCTAAGAAAGTTCTGCAGCCAGGACGTTCTGATTAGATATCCCAATCCACTCACTCACCAACAGATCCAGAGAAGGGAGAACACATCAAAATCTGTCATTTGTCTGCCATGATATATGTCAGCTTAAATGTACAGACCTGGATCTTGCAGTTTTATTTCCATCTCATCCAGTGAGGTGATCTCCTCCTCCTCTGGGGCATGAATAACCATGACTGTAGAACCCAAAGCACTCAGAACACAGCCCAACTTGCCGTGAATATTCAGCTTCTCCTTCAGAAAGTAGGATGACAATATAGCACTGTTTGACAAAACAGAAATAAAAGGTTCAGGTCCACCAGACATGTGAGACTTTGTAATATGAGCAACTTGAAGACTCTTGAATTTGGATGTAGGGGAAACATGCTTGAAACAACCAAATTACAAGGAGTTTTGCAAACAAAGGTCAATCTGAAGTTTTAGGGGAGTTTAGCAACTCTGATCAGATCCCTCTAGGTTGAAGGGTCTGAATTTCTTAAGGAACTTGTCATTAGTGATTGCCTGGGTCAGAGGTATGGGCTGCTTATACAGAGCCCTCAGACACTCACAGCTGATCATGTGAGCTGTTGTTTTCTCATAAAAATGGTTTAAAGCTCTCCATTTTCCATGAGAACAAACACAAGCAAGTTTAGGTAACAGTACCTCACCATCTCTCTCTGAGCTCTCTAGAGGATTAAGATTTAACCTAAGGATAACGTGACCCAAAAAAAGGCAACCAAAGAGTGCCTATGATCAAGAATTACACACAACCTTAGGCACAGCCACAAGCGTACTGATGTATTCATGAACAGTTTTTCAACCTGTTGATCAAATTTCAGTTATTTTTTGCATTGACATTAAGTTCTCACAAGCTTTCTGTGAAAAATTGCCACCTGCATGAAAGGAGAGGCAGCAGCCAGCCAGGTGATTAGTGTGAATCTGCCAAAAATGCATAGTAAGTGAGTCTTGATATAAAATTATGCTTCTATTACAAGAAATGTTTTTGAAAACATTTTAAGGGGAGAATGCCGTATTTTCTTCTAAAGTTTTGTCCATACTGAGAAACAGAATAAGGTGTTTTTCTTTAGGAAAGTGTCATTTCTCTAGGAGGAAATAAGTTGCAGCCTTCTAACACTGTGCATCAGCTGTATACCAGGTATATGCTGGTAAGAAACACACAAAGAATATGTGGAAGGCTGCTGCAAAGACTGGATCAGTCTTTGAGACAAGACTTCATTCCCTCTACCCAGGAAATTGATTTCTAAATAATCAAGGGATCCTCCTTGCTGAGGAACAACAAGCCTTTCTTATCTGTATTTGCCCTTCAGTTTTCTTGTTAAAATTATCTGCTGTTAACCAAAGACATTATTTTTCCCTCAGGCAGTGAAGGATCAGTTTGCTTCCAGTTTGCACTGACCTTATGAGAACACTCAGTGCACCCAAAGGGGTAACTAAGGTTGCTGGTGCGAAGGCATAAGCAGCAGAGTTTGCAGCTTCTCCCAATCCCACTGCAGAAGAAAGAACATTTGGATGAACACGATGGGAATAAGGACTGGAGAAAGTTATATGCATATCCCCTAAGTACTGTGTGCAGTATGACTACGATGACAAAGCTGAAGGCAGGCATTTACAGAACAGCTCTGCACAGCCTACACCTGCCTGCAAGGAACAGTGACAATGCATAGAAGCTGGACACATTCAACCATATTGTTTCTGACTAGATGATAAAGAAGAGGCTGTTGTTCTGCAAATAGATAACAGAATTGTTTCAGTCATAAAGGTGATTGCAAAGATATTTCTTTTAACTGAGGTGGGTGAAAAAATAGAGAATGAATTTCTTAAAAATGAACTGTTCTATGCAGCGTTTATATATAGTTGAGAGATAAAGGGTGACTTACTTGACAGCAGTCCAGCCCACCAAAGCCATTCTTTCAAGTAGGAATACCCACCATGCCCTGGAAATGGAGAAAAAAAATCTCACCTTAGAAGAGAGAAATCACCTTATTTTAACAAAAAAGCACAGCTTCACATTTGGATCAAATCATGTAGAGTATAGAAACATCCTGTTATCTGGATGTGACATTAATATTTTGTCTGAATTTGACTCACATCTTTATTAATCACTCTGCTGCTTTATGACTTGTGAGAAATGGTTTTGACTAATTCACACCAAGGAAAAGTGGCAAGAAAAAGTGAAGTGTCAACTAAGATTCTTGATGAGCTTAACGAATGTTTTGAAGTGCCTTCCCAGGTCAGATCCAGTATATTCTTACACAGAGATCTGCCTTTTGACTCTGCTTATGATTTAAATCGAAAGAAATTAGAAAGAAAAATGTCACTGCATGCATTAATTTTTTCTTGCACAAAATATAAGTAAATTGTGCGTTCAGTTACATCATTTTTTCAAGTGCTGAAATCTCTGGAATAACAGATCTTGCAATAAATGCAACAAACAAAAGAATAACTGCTACCTCTGTGCATGTAAATGCCGTAAAGGGAATTATCAGGTCAGTCTGAAGAGGTTTTTTTAAACCTCTTGACACGTTTCTAGTTCTGCATCTGCTGCCATCAATGGAAGTTAGTTGTACTATCTGTAGAAATTCTTAAGATAAATACTTCTATAGCTCACTCCACTTTTGGCTTTTAAGAATACAGGAGATCTAATGACCATTTCACAACTTCCCATCTCAAAAGAAACAGAAAAAAATTAAGGAAAAATAATAAAGATTTCTTGAAGATTAGAACAGAGGCAGAACTTCATTTGGTATCTGGCTGCTGTCACGGAGTTGTTTGGCAGTGCTAACATAACTGGTACTGGAACCATCAAGCCACGCCCAGCAGGAACGCTGCTTACCAGCACGGGGAACTCCTTTGGTGGCCAGCTTCAGGAGGCCCTTCTTCTTCAGGATGAAGCTGGATCCAATGAAGATGTTGGAACTGACTGCCAGAGCCAGGCCAATGTAGGGCTGGTACTGGCTTCCTGCAGGTTTAGAAGGCCTCAGGCTCGTTTCATTAGAAGTCCCGTCCATAGGGGAGAAGGGAGAAGGAGGGATTTGGCCCCACTGAAGGCCTGGTAGATATGATGGCATGAGCCCAAAAACAGCACCTGAGGGAGGAAGCAGGGAGAGCTGTTCACTCACCAGGCACAGCTCTGAAAGTGCCTGACCCTGTGCTGCTTGCTCCTTTCCATGTCCCCTCTGGCCCTACGGATAGATCCTGGTGTCAGCACAAAATCCACACAACACATACAGTTCTGTCCCAGCTAACCTGAAACCTCACAATAAAGTGTTCTATTCCGTGCACAGATCCCGTCTCCAGAACACAAACCCAGAGCCAAATCTATGAAAAAAGAAGAACAAAAGGAGGAATTATTTTGCATGGGGGAGCACCAGTAGTACATCATACAGCAGTTTAGGCAGAAGTTCCAGTTTTTTGTTATTAAAGCACACACGTAGTTGGGATCATACAATTAGGCTGAAACAGCTTTTGAGGACAGTCTTTTTTTTTTGAAAGAAAGGTTTTATTGCTAAGATATACATCAGCAGTTTATAGTTTAACATAAGTACAAAAGCTTAGTCTATTGTAGTTTACAGAAAGCATTGAATAAAACAAATCATTTTGTTTTCTGTGCTTCCCCTGTAATTAAATGACACATGAAGGAATCATCCTACTAATGATCCTACCAATATACTTTTTCTTTTTTTCAACTGAAAAAACATTTGGATATTTAGTAGAAAAGGACGTGCCTCTGTGTCTCCTCCTACCTAAGCTATAGAAGTATTAATGTTGCGTCAGAATTACTTCATTACACTATTAACAATAATTAACCTTGGATAATTCACCTAATACTGCTTAGGAAGGAAAATGTAAAACATCAGAAGAATTAAAAATGGTATGAAGTTTGACAGCTTCTTGGCATCTTCATTTGCAGCTGAGAATGCTGTCACTAAGAGGTACCACCATGTACAAGTAAGGAGTGAAGAACACCTGCTCTAGAGTGTCCTGTGCCACACAGTGAAGCAGACACACTGCTGTAAGATTCCACTTGATTTTCAGGCTCTGCAATCACATTTCCTTGCTTGCCAAGAGAGTTTCTATCTAACAGAAGTTGGTTTGAATTGCTAAGTCAGACTTTTTTATAAAAACAGTTGCACAGGATGGGCATGCCCATATACTGTAGGTGAAAACTAAAATCCTGCAATTACAATATATTTATTCATAGTATGAGGATACTACTTTTCTGAAATCATGCAATTTCTAGAAATTGCAACTGAATAATCCAAAAGAAATAGGATAGATAGGAGAAAAGAAACAGGAACAAGAAATACAGATTTGCATCTGTACCGGAAAATATCTTCAAATCCCAAAGTATTAGGGTAAAGTATTACCAGTTTCCCAGCTTGGAGAGCTCCTAGGTCATGTCCTCCTGCCTGCCTCGTGCTCCTCTCTCCTGCTCCCTTACCCCAAGACCTACTGCCTGCCAGCTAATTTGGGTGGTCTTTGGCTGCAGCACACCCTGCTGAGCTCTCCTTTACAGATTTGTTCCCATCAGCTGTGGGATTGTGAAGGCTCAAGAGCAAAGCTATTCAATCTGCTTTGTCACAGAGTGAATTGAATATGTTTTATGAGAGGCGTTAGCTGCTCTGCAGCAAATACTTGTAGATGAACAAGAGGGAAAACAAAGATAATCTGAGACATGACACAGAAGAAAGGTAGCAGAATGTGATTTTAAAATATGTAACTTTAATCAAACTGGGTGAGCTGATCTACTTAGACAATAGAAATAAAAGTTTCCATTACAGTTTGAGTTTCTCTTGTATCAGTAAAAAAAAAAACAAACAAACAACTCAGTGTCAGGTTAGGGTTGATGTATTTTGACAGCCAGGATTTCCCACACAGCTGTTTATATACGTGTTGTCATTGCATACAGCGCAAATGCAACATGACCTGAATATGTCACCTGCTCCTGCAAATGGCCGGGTCACCTCTGCAGAATGTGTGCCATAGGCACATTGAAGATTTCCTAAATGTCTGCAACGTGGCCAGAGCTACTCCTCTGCTGAGTGGCCAGAAAACACAGAAAAGTTTTGGATTTCTCAACTGCCATCTGGCAAAAAAATGTATATCCAAGAAAGCCTGGATATATGGCTAGCTGCTCTTGTACACTCCATGGATTATCTAAAAAAAATCCTTCAGGAAAGGAGAATTCACAAGTATTACAGTATTTTTTTCCATCTGCAAAGTAACACGGCTTTAGTTTTGTTTCTTAGAGGTACCTGGATCAAAGAAAAAGTTGCAAAGTAAATAACATTAAAAAAAGAGAGAGAGAGAGAGAGAGAAGGAATGAAACATTGAGTGGATTGCTCAACTTCTTACAACGATGCTAAACAGGACGGGCGAAGGCTGTAACACCACTTGGCTTGGCTACTGCAGGCCTTATGTGAGAGGCAGCAGCAGCCTTTAATTAAAAGAAAGCACAAAAACTCTTCATAAATATGGTCTGTTAACAACCAAGGTTGTAAATTTTTTTTTTTTTTTTTTTTTTTTTTTTTTTTTGTGCCAGTGTGCTGTGTTTTTACAGGGAAGAAAACAACACTCTGCTCATTTTTTTTTTTTTTGTGAATGGTGCACTCATCTACCTGTTTAAAATGTCAGCTTACTCCTTTCTATACGATACTACTACTTGTTCTTCAGTTTTCTGTTCCCCATCAGACCGTATGACACTTAATAATGAAAATTTCATCATGACACCTGCAGAACATCACTGAGTGACTGCCACTCCTTTCTGAAACCCAATCATTGCCCACATTTACAAAGAGAGCCTGGATCTTTAGTGTGTCCCCTCTACCAGCTGAGAAGTGCCACTTTGAGCAGCTCTGGCCACTGTTTATTATTTATTATCGTTTGTTCCACTTGCAAAAGAATGATGGTATTCTGCAGTTCAAAGAGTAGAAGGAGAGGTGGAAAAAAGAGCCTGGTGTGGCTCTGTGGCCCATTGCAAACAACTTAAGGGTTGTTTGGAAAGGCTGCAAGAGTCAATGGGCTCCCAAGGAAAGTGGTTCACGCAGCACCTGGTTTCCGTAGCTAAGCTGGTTTCCCCTCCCCACTCCCAAATCTCCCAAATGTCAACGTGAAACAGTCACCAGGGCTGCTCCTTCAGAAATAAATGCTGGGAGCTCTGACTCAAGACTGATAGCAACAGGAAACCATACAGAGCTGGAGGTGGCCACCAATTCACCTCTGACTGTTTTCCTGGTAAGGTGTTTCCTCAGCCACCCGAGTGCCATCTGATGACAGGTGGCAGACAGGCAGGGTTCACTGCTCATACCCAGTGTAACTTTCTGCAGTGTTGCAGTCTCACAGAAGCCAGTGACCCACAGGCTGGCAGCTACAGCCTCACCTCCCCCCTCCCCCCAGCATGCCGCTCCCACCTCATCCCAACAGCCATTTGCTTCTACCAGATGCATCACCGTCCACTTTCGCTGCATTCCCAGGCCGGGTCACGCTGGCAGGAGCCGTGCCCACCTCTCCCACTCGGGGAGATGCCAGCCCATCCCTACTAACCCCCGACCGTGCGGTTTACAGCTTCCCGGCACACCCGCGTTCCCAGAAACACACAAAAGAAACTGAAAAGCGAGTTTACAGCTACAAAACAGCGCCCGAAAGACAAACACGCGAATTATTACCACCATTTCAGCAGACGGGCGCTCCTCGCCCCCCGCTCACACCGCCCATCCACGGCAGGAGCCCTCCCAGCGCCACAGCCCCCGGCCAGCACCTGCGTGACCTCACGGCGGAGTAAAGCAGCCGACATCGCGGCAGCCCCGTGGTGGGGGAACAGATGCTCATTGCTCACTGCAGCAGAGCTTCCTGCTTCAGAGCCGCTTCCTATTCAGAACTCCGCGCAACGCGGCGGTCTCGCAGCCGCGCGAAGCCGCGCACCCCCCGCGCAGGACCCGCGCAGCACTGACCGATCGCGCCCCGTGGCTGCCCCGCGCCTACGGGCGCCCCGCGCCGGCTCCGCAGCTGGCGGGAGGAGGTGGCGGCGGCGGCGGCGGCTCCGCCCGGTCCCTTACCTGGCCCTTGTTTGTCCCTTGTCCGTCCCGCCCCGAAGGAGGCGGCACGTAGGCCGCCTCGCGTGCCGCGTCCGTCGTTTGCGAGCCCAGGTCCTGGCGTGACCGGACCGGTGTCTGCTCATCTCGCTGCTGCATCCGACTGGCTCTCTCATTTCTGCTACAGCAGGGTGCCCTCGCAACCCGAAAAGCCGACCTTAACCTGCACCGCATCAAAAGAAGTTTGGCCAGCAGGTCGAGGGAGGTGATCCTGCCCCTCTGCTCTGTGTTGGTGAGGCCTCACCCGGAGCCCTCAGTACAGGAGTGGACAGACCTACCTGCTGGAGCACTTCCAGAGGTGCATTCACGGTGTGTTGTAGTAAGACTGGAGGAAATGGTTTCAAACCGGAAGAGAGGAGATTGAAAATAAGGAAGAAATTTTTTACAATAAGGATGGTGAGCCTGTGGAACTGGTTGCCCAGAATGTTGGTGGAAGCCCATCTCTGGAGACACTGAGGACAGGCCGGATGGGGCTCTGAGCACCTGATTGAGCTGTAGATGTCCATTGCAGGGCAGTTGGGCTAGGTAATCTCTAAGGGTTCCTCCCAGCTCAAATGATTTAACAATGCTCTAATTTTACTTTGTTCCTATTCACTTCTGGGAGAAGAGGTGAGCATTTTGAGCATGCAACTACAAAAAGCATGCAACATGTTGCCCATGCTGTTCTTTGCCACTTGTTCCATAGGCAGGTAGCAGATTCTGGTGCTGTTTGCCCAGAGGTGGGTGAACAGAAGCAATTAGCCTATGGCTCTCTCATGTGTCATGTTCCCAGTTTCCTGCACAGCAACTGAAGCTCGCTAAATGTTGCTCCTGCAAGCAGCTCAACTGACGATTCTGCAGAGTGCTCACTGTGGTTCTGGTGTTCACTGTGGTCCCCAGAAGAATACTGAGGAATAATGTGGTTAATACTTCTGTAGGTATATTTATCCATCAGCCAGCTCCTTCAGTAGATGATGGATGTTGAAGTATTTTTAATTAAGGAAGAGAATATTTAATCTGAGATACACTTATTTCTCTATTGAAATATAGATTGTGCCACAGAAGGGCTTGGACTGGAAAAAGTCCACCCAGTTCCAACCCCCTGAGTGGGTAGGGCTGCCACCTATTAGCTCAGGCTGCCCAGGGCCCCATCCAATCTGGTCTTGAGAACTTCCAGGTATGAGACACCCTCAGCTTCTCCGGGTAGCTGTGCCAGTGCCACATTGCCCTCCTAGTGAAGAATTTCTTTCTGAAGTCTAAATAAGTCTCCCCTGTTTTAGTTTAAAATCATTACCTCTTGTTCTGTCAGTATTAGCCCATGTACAGAGTTGGTCTCCATCCTCCATGAAGCACTGGAAGGCTGTGGTGAGGTCTTCTGGAGCCTTCTCTTCTCCAGACTGAACAAGCCCAGCTTCTTCAATCTTTCCACACAGAAGAAGTGCTCCAGACCTCTGAACATCATCCAAGCCTCCTCTGGATGAACAGATCTGAATATTCTTTGTGCTGGTGCTTCAGGCCTGGGCACAGTACTCCAGGTGGGGCCTCACGAGGAGAAAATAGAGGGGGGCAATCCCCTCCATCTCCCTGCTGGCCACTCTTCTCCTGATGGAGTCCAGAATATTTGATATCTGGGCAGCAGTGCACACACACACACACACACACACACACACACATTTCTTTATATAGCTCCTATTTCATGTTTTAAAATCTGCAATAAACTGTCAAAACACAATAAGAACTCATTTCTGAAAAAAAAAAAAAAAAAAAAAGTTAAAAAAATATAAAAATCCAAGACAGCAGACTGGCAATTTATAACACAATTACAAAAGTTAGTGGGTTCACAGAATCACAGAATCACAGAATTGTAGGGGTTGGAAGGGACCTCCAGAGATCATCGAGTCCAACCCCCCTGCCAAAGCAGGTTCCCTACAGTAGGTCGCACAGGTCGGCATCCAGGCAGGTCTTGAACATCTCCAGAGAAGGAGACTCCACCACCTCCCTGGGCAGCCTGTTCCAGTGCTCCGTCACCTCACTGTAAAGAAGTTCTTGCTCACATTTGTGCAGAACTTCCTATGCTGCAGTTTCCAGCCGTTTCCCCTTGTCCTGTCTCCACTCACCACTGAAAACAGTCCAGCCTCACCATTCTGCCCCCCACACCTTAGATATTTATAGACCTGGATCAGGTCCCCTCTCAGTCTTCTTTTCTCAAGGCTGAACAGACCCAGATCACTCAGCCTTTCTTCATAGGAGAGATGCTCCAGGCCCTTCACCATCTTTGTAGCCCTCCACTGGACTCTTTCCAAGAGATCCCTGCCTTTTCTGTACTGGGGAGCCCAGAACTGCACACAGTACTCCAGATGAGGCCTCACCAGGGCAGAGTAGAGGGGGAGGATCACCTCCCTCGACCTGCTGGCCACGCTCTTTTTCTGCACCCCAGGATGCCATTGGCCTTTTTGCCACGAGGGCACACTGCTGGCTCATGGCCAACCTGTCGTCCACCAGGACACCCAGGTCTCTCTCTGCAGAGCTCTACTCCAGCAGGTCATCCCCCAACCTGTACTGGTGCATGCAATTATTCCTCCCCAGATGCAAGACTCTACATTTGCTTTTGTTAAACCTCATCCGGTTTTTTACTGCCCAGCTCTCCAGCCTGTCCAGGCCTCGCTGAAATTTCATGCATATATTTTTCATTGATGATTTATAGCACTCTGCATACTCAGCAAGTTTCAAAGAACTTTGAGACAATGCCTGGAAGAAAGAAAGTGCGTAAGATTCATTTATCAACAGTGATATAATTTTTGGATGATGTGTAAAGGTCAACTGGGTAAGAAATTAAGGTCTTGATACACAATCTTGTCATATGAGATAAAGAGGAAAATAATGTGAGTTTACCCTTTGGAATGGCACATGTGACTGATCTAGATCAATGCCTGCAGCATCAACTAATGCAAATAAATCAGTGCATCTCCTCTTATGCCAGTGGACCTCTGCCAGCTATAGCTAAGAAAAGATCAGTCCTATTGTGTACGAAATAACAGATTTGTGTGTATCAACAGTCAGAGTAATTCTGTGGCAGTTTTCATTTTTTTTCCGAAAGAAAATAAAGGAAAATGCTACAAGAAGCTGTTACTGCTTTTTTGTACTGTTTTTCCTTGGAAAA